ATCTACGGTTTACATTTTTTCCTCCTCCGCAATCAAATTATGCCATTAAATGAATAAATGTGGAATACGCCCCATGAAACTGTGCTGATATTTAAAAATGACTTGACATTTTGCCCGATAGTAGACTTAGAGCATTTGTCAACCATGAATTGAAGCCGTGTCTGGTCTGAAGATGGCACTCCAATTATGCGTCATTTTGTTAACCGCCTCGGTTTTGGGTAAGGAATACGGAGGAAGGAGCAATAGGTTGCCTTTTAATATTTGGCTCTGGTGGGCATGTATAAAAAGTGTTTGGTAGATTGTAGCATTTGTTAAGTGATAAGTGTAGTTCATTTGTCTCATGTGCAGCTACAAACCAAGTTGAAAGCAGTTCCATTCTACCTCATTTACGCAAATTTAACCTCCCATAAAGCCCATAATGTGGAGGGGTAAGCCTCGACGCCATTCACTACTGTTGTTTGCTGGGCAGTGACGTGTGTGCTGCCCGCACTGAGGGTGGCGAATGTTCTTAAATGCTTTAACGAAAACATCGAAACATCCCTAGTGATAAATGAACTACCTTCACGCGTTGGTAGCAGTGTCTCAAACAAATTACGTCAGCACCACTGCATAAATTTGTTAAAACCATGTTTCGTACACTGTTCTCTTTTCTTTACAACTCCGCTGTTTTATGATTCTCATGCAATGACATGCAAGTAATATCGTCAGACTTCATGGTGTTTCACAGACCTACGTAAGATTATGATCTACAAATCAACACTGTAGAGTAATTCTCATTTTCAGTTGCATCGAAACGAATATAGCGATGTCCCGTTACCCATTCCTAGTTCAACAATCATGCTTGTTGTAAGTGTGCTCCTTTTCTGTGGCTAGATGAAACGAAATGCCTGGAACGCTTTAGCTTATTAACATATTCCCCATTTTATTAGAGATAACGGCGACAGAGACTGAGCTCCACAAACACTTCTATTTGAGTCAAGTGTGTTCTCAGAGCATTCGCTTACATTTGGATGTCCAAAGCTTGCCTGATCTCAACGGAACAACTGTTTCCATAAAAGTCGTGCATACTTCTGATCCCTCAGTCCACAAAAGACAAAGTGCACAATTTTCGAATGGACAACTCATTCTTGGCGGTCTGAAGCCCTCCACATTATGCAAAATGACTGTAGAAGCAGCAACAGCGAAAAAGATCATTTTGCATTTCACTAAAGATATCGCGACACCGTGCATTGGTAAGTTACCACGTGTCATCATGCTGTGCAATTGCACGCCAAAGAACATTTCTACCAACGCTTATCCGCAGTAGTGTTTCCTGTATCATATTCAAAGACAACATTGTTAAACTCACCACCATGAGGCAGTCGTCACCGCTCGTCACTATACAGTTTACATTTGAGTGACGCACGTTTTGTTTGACATAATTAGCTGAATGTTTTGTTTGCATAGCCAAAGTAGAAAGAAAGCCCACTAATGACTAGTGGATCTGCTTTAACTTCCGCAATCGCTCTTTACTTTTTCAGCTGCATGATATTTTCCCTTTCTTGCACGCTCGTGTAAGTCACTGCAACTTACCCACCGTTCTTCCTTTATCTATTATCATAACTCATAAAATTGTGTTTTTTAACAACTCTTTTTCACAACAGGCCTCTATACTGCAGAGGATGCACAAGTCACCATTTACTTCTTGATTTATATACAATAGTGTGACCTCTCATTGCGGATTACTGCTGGATGACAAATATAGCACTTTGTCATAATCGCCTTCATTTTTATCAACTTTCATTCCAATTCACTGACACAAATAGGATTACCTCCCTGAGATAAGGTGGAACAAATTGTTAAAATTTAAATTGTTCGTTAAGATGGCAGACTACTAATTTTCATGCACGACAGGTCAACATTAGCATGCAACTTTCGCTTACTAAACAGATTTGGGGCTTCACAGTGTTCATTTCGCTCACCACCCCGAATACCTGGCTTCTATGGGCGATTGATGCGTAATTTGGAGTATAACAGCAAACATATGGAATGGGCGGATGTTTGCTTTGTTTACTGCAACTCCATAACCTGATAACGATAAGTAGCCATTCAGTCATGCCCATTTTGTTAATGCCACTTACCTCTGCAAAATCTAGTATATATATATATATATGCCTCTTCTAATAAAACTGGATTTTATGGGTTAAAAAACTAAAGTTTGTCGTCTGACAGTTGTATCTGGATGTTCTGTATTTTTCCTTGATTGATTTTTTCGTTGATCGATCTAAGATTTAAAAAATTAAGATCCTAAAATACTTAGTAACACTAAACTTACACGTGAGAACAGTTACAGGCATGCGCTGCACCATCAAAGATCCACGATAGCCGATTTTTCTTGAACTGGGTTTATTTATACCAATGAACTGTTTAGTTTGAGAACCGGCTGTGTCACACTTGTTGATACAATGCTTCTCCTTTGAAACTTTGAGCTAGACAACATTGTCGTCCATACTGCTAGGACCCGCTTACTGATAAAGCTAAAACTATACCTCTTGTGCAGTCATAAAATTAAGATGAGGTGCCCTCGATACAGCAGCAGCCATTGCTTGATGGAATTTGACCAAAATGACAAATCAAATTCCCACAATATTCCGCCACTGTTCACAATACATGTATTCTTGTTAAGTAGACATGTTCGTCTATCCATCTCCATCGTTCTCTAAAGGGTCTCAGCTTTAGTTAATAGCCCTTCGACATTTAAAAATCGTCTGCAAAACCAATATCTCGCCGTATGTCGTACCTTAATCGAAACACGATTTCCCAGTGTGAACGTTCATTACATCTGGAATCACCACACGTTGAAGAGTCCAACCACATTCCAACGAACGATTATACAGTCAGCATGGGCATTGCTTGGACACATTAAATAATGCCATTAAAATGATTGCATTTTCAGGGAAATGAGGTGAATTAGACTTCTGCTACTGCATGAGCAGTATGATGACTTCTTTGCCACTTTCTAAAGACGTTTGGACAGCCACTGTGAAACATCTTGCGCATTTTCAACTTTAATTATTGCAACTGTTATAAATGCGACCATGGATGAGTCAAACGGAATGGATCGTCTCGTGAAATTCCTTTACAATCTTACTGAAATTAACATTGATGGAATGGCCATGTCGCATATGGGTGAGGACTCTTCAAGGCATGTCGTCGCATTAATGCAAATTTTGTAGATTTACAAGGTTGGCAAACCCGTAACTGCAAATTGGAGGGATTATCTTTTGGGAAAATGGTTCTCACTTCTCCCTGTTTGCCCGCGTATGAGAAATATATGTCAGTTTAGGTCAAATTTGGTTCACCAACTCGGTCACTTTCTTCGTGCAGTGAAGAACCGGCGAAACATTGGCGTAGGTGCCTTATTATTATTAATGAATCCAGTTTTATAACATACTTTGCTGCACCAGTGTGAAGTTTGCAGGCGTCTAATGTTTGCAAATTTGTAAGTGAAAGCCAAAGATATTATCGCTTAGAGGAATGGGCGCCTCTAGCGGTTCGACAATCCTGTGTTGCAGTTGAAGAGTTGAGTGTGGTGGGGCCTCCAATTTCATCGGTTTGCAAGTCTCTAGCGTGTTTGCATCGGACTCACCCCTGCCTGGAGGCGAACGTGATGGGGATCGCTGAGCATTTCAAGCAACTCATCTTAACAGTTTATAATACTGGGACTTGCCGGATAACAGAATCCCTTGTCTGCTGGAGAGCTTTTGGAATCTGGTGAGCATGAGAAGTCTCCTTGTAATAGGTAATCATAGTAGTCCATTTTCTGACAGCGTTCATAGGTAGATATGTAGTGAGTGATAAGTCCTCTATTAACCCCTTCATCGGTGCATTTAAACAATCGTCTATGTGCATTGCCGGTGGCCAACATGCGAGAATGAAGGAGCCCAGGAATATTTAACAGAGGAACAATTGACTGCTCTGCTTACTCCATGCTGTCTCTAAATCTGGGGAGTCGCGGACATTGAGTCTTTCTGACAATCCCTGGATGGCGCCTTTCTCTACGGTGAAGTGCGACGCAATTGCCACAAGTCTTTCTCGTCCTATCTGCAGTATTTTAGCAGAATTATGGGCATTAATCGGTGGTTGGCTATGGCGAATATTGTCCGTCTTGATCGTGATGTGGACGTGAGGTAGCCATGTCACCTAACGACTGGCACGTGGTGTAGGATGTATTCACTTCAGGAGGAAGGTTATTTGGTGCCACAAGGTAGATGCCACCAGCGATGTTTTGAGTTTAAATTGGAAGCGGGGTTAGGTGTTTGCACCTTTGAACAGGCTTATGCAATGGCAGAACTTGTGGTCCACGACGGTCCGGTCAACAGGTTTTGGGAGGGTCGGGGCTTTGTTGTAGCGTTTTAGAGGCTGTAGCAGTGGTATTTGGCAGATGAAGTGGTGGCCTTCAGATTATCACCATGTCGGGAGCTGCTGATGTCGGCTCACTAGTGCATTTCTAGGTCGTCGGTATTATGCCCTATGGGCATAAAGTTCGGACTTTAGGGGGCGGTGTTGATGTCTCGTCGAGAGGCTAGCAACGAATGGCCGCTGGGGGATAGTGAGCTCCGCGGTATCGGGTTGGTGTGAGTTCAGTTGTGGTAACAAGTTGGTGGGTCTGGCTGTTTCAAAGGCGTAGCAGACCATTATCATTACCGTGGCATGGGTACGAATGAGATTGTCGTGCTTAAAGGGCATGGGGAGGGGGAGGTGGTGCGGCCGCTGTCATGCGCTCGTGCACTTACTTAGGAGTGGAGTGATCGGTACTTCTCTACCTCCTGCGGGTCGATGGAGGGCGGTGTGTCAGATCTGGGAAGGAAGGGTGGGCTCGTTGCATTCGTGGGATGCAAGTGGTTGCGTGCACTAATGTTTTTGATAGGTAGTCACTTCAGGGTTGGATATCCAGCTGTGGGCTCGGTCTTGGGGCTATTGCCTGGCGGGAGTCTGCTTTGCAGGCTGGAGGTGGCGGAATGACAGCTGCACCGAGCAGTGAGTGTGTGGGTGCTGTTGCTCACTCTGCTGATGCACCCAGGTGCGGATTGCCAAGCACCCCTACTGCGTGTTTTCTGCAGGAGGGGCACACGATATTTCCATTAGCCTATTTTTTTGGTACAGGATTAGTGATGTATTGCTCTGTCTTTCATATGCAGTAATAACCTCATTTCAATGCACTGCTGTTGGTTCTTATGGTGAGCTCATTGTTTTGGGGAGACCATGGAGTGTTATTTCCAGATATGACTCAAGAGTTGAGTACATAGCATGAGGTGGCAGAGGCGAAGGTGATTGTGTTGAATTTTTTTCGGATCGATGAGAGGAGGGGTGTTGTTGCAGTTCTGCATGACAGCCACACTTTGTCTATTGTGAGAGCTTGGTGAATGTAGTAGGGGCTGCAGTGAGTAAAGTAATGGTTAATTTGTGTAGCTGATATTGGTTTTAACATCATATGTAACCTGAGTTCGGATGCGCACGTGTTGCATTATAGCGGTTTGGCTTGGCAATGGTACAGCATCTAAAGTATGAGGTGCAGAGTATGCCTCCACTAAACATTTGCTTTGACCTTTTAATAGCCTTCC